CCCCCCCTTTTATACATGAGCATTTTCAGGCATTTTGCATGCTTTTTCCATGTGTTTGTAAGCTTCAGGTGTTGGGTATTGGCCAACGGAAAGCAGCATCTACTGTGACATCACATGTTGTCATCATGCTTGTATCTGCTTCCTGGTTTTTCCGTGGGTTGTCCTGGTGTCTGGTGCTATTGGATTATTACAGTGCATGGTGATACCTCTGTCCAATGGTGCCACACCCCAAAGTCGTAAGTGTGTACAAAAATGGAAGAAGGTTCTATTAGATCTCTCAATCCAAGTAAACTTCATGCCCAATTTCTTCCCATGCAGGGCCAATGCCGCTTGCCACGGTTCTTGTAATGGACATCTCTGAGGTCATAAAGGATCTTGTGGGCCCTCACTAGCCAGAATACGTGAGCAGAGCCAGCAGCTTATTGGCTGCTGGCTCTGGTCGTACGAAGATTTTCCGGCCGGCTCCTTCGATCAGCTGATCAAGGGATTCCAGCCAAAAGTGTGCCGACAGCGGCACGCACTGTGCAAATTTTGGCTATTTCCTCAAGAACAGAATGAAATTCGCACAGTATATGGCACCTTTAGGCACAAAAGCATGCTGTCCTGGTCTCACAATTGTGCAACTACACCAGATAAACCCAAGATGCCTACACTTCCCCTATGTCTAGTGTTTGTGTTCTGGAGCCCATACACATGCCAACTCAGGAACCCAAGTTCCTCATATCACAACCAGTCACCAGGAACACACCAGGTATCCGCATGTTATATGCTGGATTGCTCCCCCATGACATGTAATGTCACCAAAGTTGAGGTATACACGTATTAGCCCCTCCATGAATCGGACTCTCAAGCAAGTCCGTGCCATACAAGGTACCATGGACGGGCACAGTGGCATGGGGGCACTCAGCATCAACACCACAACCCAACCCTGGGAAGGCAGGATCTAAAAAACGACAAAAAAGGACATTTTCAGTTTTTCCAATAACAGCATGAAAAAATGCTTCTTCACCCGGTGGTGGCAGTTAGGGAGTTAATAAAACGCCTCTTCAGTCCTAGTCACTGGACGCCCCACCTGGATTTACGGCTTAATAACCATTCAGTTTTCTTCCTTTTATCTTTACATGAAAGCTTGTGAAGTCCCCGGTGATGTTATAAAAGAAATGCGTTTCACCGATTGCCAGCTTCTCCAGAAAACTCCCCCATCCCCCCAAATTAAAGCTGGATAGGGCAACGCAGTGGCTTAGTGGTTAGCACCTCTCCCTTGCAGCACTGGGGTCCTTGGTTCAGGATGCTATCTGTATTGAGTTTGCATCTTCTCATGTGCTTGCATGAGTTTCCTCCCGCACTCCAAAGACATGCTGGATGGGTAATTGGCTCCTATATGTGTGCACAATAGGGACCTCAGATTGTAAGCTCCTTGGGGGCAGGGACTGATGTGAATGTTTGGTATACAAAGCACTGTGTAGCTTGATGGTGATCTAGAAATGCCTAAAATAAAAGATATGTGAACTTCCTTGACATTTATGACACGGCTTGTTATGGCTGACACCTGTCAGAATGCAAAATCTATTTTTGGAAAGAAGGGAAACAAAAACATTAAATGGCAAAATCCTGTAATTGGTTAGACTCCAACTCCCCAGGGATGTCCCTATAGTAAGCCTGAGGCTGGTTAACTCTTTGGGTCACATGGAGGGGCAGCAAGCTGCACAATGTTAGCAGTGTGCCTGCCATCCCCTTTCCGGCCAGTGCCCCCAAGGGCCAAACACATCTCCCTGCCCAGCTCTTAGCAACTTGGGACACTCTGGCCTCAGGAAGCCAAAAGGCTAGGGACCTCCCTGAGCCCCCCCTCAAAACAAGTTCAGGGCTCATTGGTGCACTGAGCTGCGTTGATTTGAGTTGACTAAAGCAGGCTCATCGCAAGGACACAGCAGAAATAAATAGTTGTCTATGTGCTTCGTTCACGCCAACTAGTGCGTGTGGCACGGGGGCCTCCCGAGGCCGGGTGTCACCCAGAGTGGAGACCAGGTGACACCCCACCGTGATGTCATTGCGCATGCGCGTGACATCGCCACACGCGCGTGCAATGATGTCATCGTACAAGCGCAGTCATCTTATTGACGCCTGCCGGCGGCCATCTTGCTGATGGACGCCGGCAGAGAGAGGAGGGGACGGTCACCCAGCGGGATGCAGTATGCGGCCGGGTCCCCTCCTCTCTCCTGACACTGTCGGGCTGCCTGACTTTTCAGAGGGGGGGGCTGTCAGTCATTTTGGTGTCCCCCCCCGCCCCGTACCCCCATTGTGACGCCACTGGTGTGGCATGCTGCATATTTATGCAAAAACACGATACGACATGCATCAGTGTTTTCCACGTGCTGTAGTGTATAGCAGTGAATAAAGTTTTAGTTTAATAGAAAAAGAAAAAAAAAATGCATTGCAATGCATTGGTGACAACAGTGCCCATGCTTGTGTAACATGTGTTGAAATGGTCACTTGTAGTCTCCATCAGAAATCCATGTGACCGGGTGACAACGCAGAAGCCGAACTGACACACATGGGCTGAGTGTTGTCCCCCTATAACAGGAAATGCTTGTATGAGAACCTTCATGGCAGGATCACGGGGGATTATTTTAACAAAAGCTGCAGATTTAATAAAATATTGAAAATGACTTTTAAATGGACATGAACGTCTTAAAGCTTAAATGAGATCTAAGTGATTGAGATGATGTCTCCTTTAACGCCTTGCTGCACCAGGTCCTGTGCGGAGGACAAAATGGGAAGAAGGAAAAGGAAATAATAAATAGTCCAGAGGTTAGTAAATAGAGCCGAATCCCCCCCGCTGGATGTTCTACTTCAAGGCGGGTGATTCTACGTACAGAAATCCTCCTGAGACCAAGAGAAGGTTCCACACTGAGCTGACAGGTTCACTTTTATCCCGTCCCGTCCCCTGTACTGTCTGCCAAAGACTCTGAGAGAGATGAAGGCAGCCGGACCTTCTGTGAGATACTCGCTAATATCGCCCACTGTAGCCAGAGCGCTGTACTGTGCACACAGCTAGAAAAAAACATTTATCAGTCATATCTACTGTGTGTCCTCTTAATGCTCTGTTAGATGTATATATATACAGTTATTGCCAAAAGTATTGGGACGCCGGCCTTTACACGCACATGAACTTTAATGGCATACTAATCTTAGTCCATAGGGTTCAATATTGAGTTGGCTCCGCCCTTTGCCGCTATACCAGCTTCAACTCTTCTGGGAAGGCGTCCACAAGGTTTAGGAGTGTGTCTATGGGAATGTTGGACCATTTGTGAGGTCAGGTACTGATGTTGGAGGAGAAGGCCGGGCTCGCAGTCTCCGCTCTAATTCATCCCAAAGGTGTTCTTTCAGGTTTTATCGGGTTGAGGTCAGGACTCTGTGCGGCCAGTCACGTTCCTCCACCCCAAACTCCCCCATCAATGTCTTTATGGACCTTGTTTTTTACATTGGTGCGCAGTCATGTTGGAACAGGAAGGGGCCATCCCCCAAACTGTTCCCACAAAGTTGGGAGCATGAAATTGTACAAAATGTCTTGGTGTGCTGATGTCTTAAGAGTTCCCTTCACTGGAACTAAGGGGCCAAGCCCAACCCCTGAAAAACAACCCCACACCATAATCCCCCTCCACCAAACTTTACACTTGGCACAATGCAGTCAGGCAAGTTCCGTTCTCCTGGCAAACCCAGACAAGTCCATCGGATTGCCAGACCGAGAAGCGTGATTTGTCACTCCAGAGAACACGTCTCCACTTCTCTAGAGTCCAGTGGCGGCGTGCTTTTCCAAAAATGTTTACGTTTAACATCTAATATATAGACTGACTTTAACAGATAAAATAATATGTTTATATCTTTGACCCCAAAGCTTCAGATAACAATAATACATGGGACCTTGGGGGTATGTCATTTATCGGATTTCTCTTTGCAGTGTCATGTGGTTATAGCAGAACTACATTAAAAACATTCTTAAAGTGATATTAAAGACAAGATGTTGTTAAGCTTTCAGGTGCTGATTGAATCACTTAGAACGGACGCTGCTCCTTGATTTTTAAATGTTTTAGTTTCTTCCAGAATCAGCTGGTTCCCTGAGCACTGGCCCTGATATCCTGTATTAGGATGGCTCCTTTTCCTTGTAGGGTCCTGTAGAGCCACCCTTGTGTGTGTTAGTAAGCTGTGTGTGTCTCCACAAACACACAGGACAACAGGGCAAGACACTCCCTGCCCCCCACACTTCTCATTTCCCCCTCCCACTTCTCATTTCCCCCTCCCTTCTCCATGCTAGTAGAGTGGACAGCTGCTGGAGACTACTCGGTCCCTTGTGATTTTGCACTGGACAGGAAGTTCAGGGAAGGGGAGCTAAAAGAGTTGGAGCAAGATGATGACTTGAGAATTAATGTAAAAAAAAAAAAATACTTTGCAGGGCAAATTCAGGATTCATTACTAAAAAAAAAAGATTGAGAGTTTAACCTTCCTGGCGGTAATCCCGAGTGTGGCTCGGGGTTAATTTTCAGTAGCAAAAGCGGTAACCCCCGAGCCACACCCGGGATTACACTGTAGCGTCACTTACCTTGTCCCTACGAGCCGCGCTGTGTCCTGCGGCCGATGCCGGCATCCGTCTTCCCTGCGAGGGGGGCAGAACCGGCGGGAAATTCAAAAGTGAAGAATAGAAAGAAAAAAAAATACTGACATAATCAGACCGCCAGGGAGGTTAATACTACTTTAAGTCTAGGTCTTTATTTGTAAAAAAAACAATACAAGTGGGTTTAAATACAGCTACCATAAGTGCCTCATATCTATCTGTATATTAGCTTCCTGGAATCATCTGCAGAGCATGATTTAGACTGGGAGGGAAAGCGGTATCAGGCAAGCAGGAATTTCTCCATCGGTGGGCTTGCAATGGAGCGGTTCCTCTGACAAAGGAGAACGGCTGTTAAGTTTCTGTGGCTTGACAGCAAAAAATACTCTGTATAGCTTTACTCTGTACAATGTTGAATCTTACTCAGGGGCGGGGCTGGTGATGTCACAGCAGCTGACATAACTGCATTCTTATTGTTGCACACATCTGCAATGGAGAGAGGCTGTGCTACTTTGCTATTTAATAGAGCCTGGCGGTCAAGTTAGCAAAAAAAAAGAAAAACCCTCCCTTCACAACTGTTATACGGCTGTCCACGCCATTGATAAATGTCACCACATTACTATTATTTTTTTCTGCACAGGGGAAAATAAGAGCCACGACATGGATTCAGCTCAGGCCCAGCTGTTGCAGTGATGGAGCTGAAGACGTGCCCCAAGGCCAAACAACAGCAATCTCTCGCACAGCCAGCCAGGACGTCCCAGCAAAAGCTGAAGCACATACAGTGAGTTGGATTCCCCCCATTTAAACTGTGTCATCTGTAAAAATACATATTATTATTATTATACAGGATTTATATAGCGCCAACAGTTTGCGCAGCGCTTTACAATATAAGGAAGACATTACAATCACAACACAAGTCAAGACAAGATGGTAAGGAGGTCCCTGCCCGTGAGGGCTTACAATCTGAAAGCGGAGGGGCCAGTGATACATGAGGAGGTAGCTGTGTGGGGATGAATTGTTTGAGAATGTGATGGTTCAGTGGTTAGTTTGAGGTGAGATACATCATTTATATAGACTATAAAAAATATATCAAAATAATCAGTCATATAAACTGTTAAAAACAACATAAAGTCAAATGTATTTCAAACAATTATAGTTCCCCAGTAAGATCATCCCTACAATAACTTGCTCATATGCGTGTGTTCTTTGTGCTCGCGTCTGTGTTTATGCATGCGAGAGCATTTCTTGAAAACACACGGAGACGCAAACCGTCTAAAGCACCAAACCCAAGTGCATCTCTTGCCTTTTGAGTGCCAGAGAAATTTAGGTCAGCTCTAATCCAGGCTTAAAATCAGAAGCAGAAATTGTTTCTTAGAAGAAATATAGGAAGTGTACAGTATGCACCAAGGAGCTTGTGCGTCGCTCCCGGCTATTCGTCAACTGCTCATCCTTTCTGTTTCAGAAGAAAGACGTGCAAATAAATGCATGTATGCTCTGCGTATTCCTCCTGCTCTTTTCCATGCACTCGGAGGAGAATATACCGCAGAAAGTCTTATGGCATCAAACGGTCTTTTTATAAAATGCTCAATTCTCTGACTGCGGAGAAAAAGTAAAAGCCCCGTATATTACATCTGGGATGGCAGCTATGAAATGACATCAATCTGTCCAAAGTTGAACTGCAGATATATTGGCGCCATTGTGTATGAAAAATTATAAAAATCATTAAATGTATTTTTAATTATGGCTGCCATAAGTATCTGAATTGATCTCAGGCTCCTGTAAACCCCTGCACAGTTGCACTTAGGATGGTTTTTGGTTATCTTACACATAACAGTTTTAGGGCTCATTCACACGGGTATGAACATCTGTATGGTATGCATGCCATGGGCGTCCCGAGGCCGAGTGTCACCCCGCCGTGTCATCATCGCGCGGTAGAGAGAGGAGGGGACGTTCACCCGGCGGGATGAGGTATGCCGCCGGGTCCCCTCCTCTCTCCTGACACTGAGACCGAGTGCCCGACTTTTTAGAGGGGGCGACACCAAGATGACTGTCAGTCATTTTGGTGTCACCCCTGCAATGGCGACACCCGGGTGCGGGCCGCACCCCCCTTGTGACACCACTGTGCACGTCCATGCAGAGACCCAAGGACGCCCATATGTGAACCAGGCCTTAATCAGTTTTTTTTACACCTTAGCAGCTGCTGTTTCCAGGTTTGTTTGTAAACAAATGTGATCACCATGATTGGCTGCTATGACCATGCCGATTGGCTCCCGAACATTGATTCCAGAACGTGGTTGATGCTCTGGGAACTAATTGCCAAGGATGCAGCGTTTGCCGGGGAGGACGCCTATGTGTTAATATTTTTGATCAGCGAATCTGTAAAAATAGACCAAAAAGAAAAAACAGCAAGGGCTTATTTTTTCCAGTGATCCTTGTCGGCTACTGTCAGGTGCGCGTAGACGGATGACAGTAATCCTGAGCGCCAAACAGAAGCCTTAGTGCCAGATGGTCGGCCTGTCTTAACAATAAATGTGTCGAGCGTGCCCGCTCCTCCTGCCCGCTCCTCCTGGTTGTCTTGTATGGACAAGATACACGTTATGAATTTCTACGAAAGTCGACCTACGCAGGGCAAGCCTTACGGCGGTGTTGTTCTACGCCGTGACATACTGCCCGCCTCGGAATAAACAATAATTGGTGTATTTAAAGGTCAGGTCTTTCTCGAGTCCATTTTTTGTGGAGTGGTGCTGCGTTTATGCAAATGAGGCTGAGTCGCCGGCGATCGAGGAGTAATTTTGCAGCAGGCGAAGTTGGCCCTGAAGACCAATCAGGCTTCGCTGTACTCTATAGATTAGGAAGAATCTGACTGGTTCTCTTTAAAGTGGCCCTGTCAG